TATCTTGGAACTTGCTTAAGGAGGCTAATTCTTAGATTACTGGAGGGACCCAGTTAGGGGAAAAGTTCTCATTTAATTTAGTTCTCTAATATGAATCCAGTGAGCAGCAGGAAGCTCTAGTGTATATACTTTTTACTTTCAAAGCTTTTTGTAAATTAGATAGTAAAGTCTTATGGGATCCTAATCCTCTTTCACTTTGCCTGAGAAACTGGTAGATAGAGAGACTGCTTTATGGCTCTGGAAATTTCATGCAAAATGTTGGAAATTTAATGGTAGAGAGGGAGAAAAATCCAATCCCTCCCAACTTTTGCTGGCTGTGAGCAGGCCTTTTGGTCAGTCGAGGGGAGATCTCTATCAGAGGAGCCCTCCCATTGGCGGATTTTCATGTATCTTTTGAATTAATGGTTGTTTGTTTGTGTGTCTTTATTAGGTTTTCCTCCTTTTAATAAGACTTCCTTCTGTAATACTGTGTGCATCAAACTTCCTAGTGGGGGGGTTGGTTTCAGTAATCCAGGGATGACCCATATATACATTTCTTCCTTGGTGGGGACCATAAATTTAAGAAGGGAGAAAGTTCCCTAAAGCATCACTGGGTCATTTGGTCTATGCGAACTCGTTCAGGATAATTTATTGAAAGATAAATTCTGCATTTGTAGTAGTTGAGCCTGGATCCCTTCCTTTGCAAGCACTAAAACATCAAATAAATGTTCACAACTGCCCTGAATGGAGGCGAAAACTATTGTTTTCATTTTCTAGCAGGAAAAGCCATTTAAAGTTCTTCAAAGTCTGGCTCGAGTTTACCTTAGCAGGGGGATACTCCCGGTTACTCCCCCTTGTGCTTTGTACACTTTTGCCAAACTGGCCCACTTACTTTTCTCTGTCCCTGATGTTCTGTTTCTGGTCTCCTGGCTTTTTGTAGGCCGTCTTCATGCATGGAATACTTTCCCTCACCACCTCTGCTTTTTGGAAGTCTTAGCTATCCAGGTTCAACTCAAGTGCCACCTCCTTCAATAGATTTTCCTGATTGCCCCACTTTTTACTGTCCAACAGTCCACCAAAATGACTTTGTATTTATTTTGTTTGTTTCCTGTATTAATTTACCTGTGAATATATTGTATCCCCCAATAGAATATAAACTCCTTGAGGACAGAGACTAACTTATCTATTTATAACCCCAACACATACTTACAGACTCACTGATTGAAACGGTTTTCTAAACTTAATTCAGAGACTCTGTTATGGAATTAGAATTTAAATTCAAATCTATTGGCTCCCATTCTGGACATATTCTTCTGTGTCACTTGGTTTCCTCTCTCTTTCCCACTGTTTCTTTTTCCCCTCCCTTCTTCTCCTTTTTCCTGTCTCTCCCTCCCCTTCCTTCCCTCTTGCCTTGCCCTTCTCTCTCTCTCTCTCTCTCTCTCTCTCTCTCTCTCTCTCTCTCTCCCACACACACACACACACACACACACACACTCCCTTCCTCCTTCTTTCTGTTACTCCTACCCTACATCACTTACATACACACCTGAACTGAGGACCTAACTGTGATTCTTAGAGAAACAGGTCTGCGCATTTCAAAGTACAGTAGTTGCCAAAAGGGAATAAGAATGAAAAATTGAATCGCTTCTGCTTCATTCTGTAAAACTAGAGAAATCATTCAAGGTCAGCGCAGTCTTAAGGAATAAAAATTCTCTGGCAAGGGCGCCAGGGCTCCTGTTATCTCTTTATGAGATGGAAGAATTCTATAGAGCCACTGGGCTTTTTTACATTATATCTCTCACTTGAAAGAAAAATACTTTTTTGCTGATGTCATCAAATGTTGCATTTTCAAAAGCTTCCATTGATGTCTTTTCCCCTCCTTTCTTCCCTTTTTCCTCCCTCCCTCCTTCTCTCCATGCCTCATTCCCTTCCTTCTTTCTTTCCTCCTCTCCTTCCTTCTCTCCTTCCCTTCCTTCCCTTCTTCCCTCTTTCCTTCCCTCCTTCCTTTTCTCCCTTCCCTCCTTCTTTCCTTCCCTTCTTCCTTCTCTTCTTTCCTCTTGAGTATCTACTTACTACAGGTACTATATTTTGAATACACTTTGATACTTTGTCCCCTACGTGAAGAGACCCCAGAAAATTTATCCCAGGGTCAAGGCACTTTGTGGGTGAGCACCAACTCAAAAGCTATAGTTCAGAAACTCTCAGTGATACATTTTAATAGATAGAGGATACATTAATTCAAGCAAAAGACATTTAGTCCAACAGCATAGCAAATGAAGTGGCAAGTGAAGATCTCTCTCCCCTCCCCCGTAAGGCATCCTACCACCAGTGGGGGGAGGGCATGTGTGCAGGGAATACTCATAAGCAGGGAGCATGAATGAAGGGCACACACACGGGGAAGGTGATATATAACATAACACAAACATAACACACACCCGCGGCTGGAACAACATACGGCCAATGCTGCAAGACTGCTCATGCTGTCTGGTGATGTCATCACCTTGTTCTTTGTTGGGAATATTGTTTTTATTGGTCTTCTGGTTGCCAAGTTTCTCCCTATTACCATCTTTTGAGCATCAGTACCAACTGACAGGAGGGAGGAGATGTTACACAGAACACTCAGGCAGCTACCAAGCCTAGGAGTTCTTTCCCATCCTCTCATTCTTTATCTTATGAGCTGAGCAAATAGGGCAAGGAATAAGGTGGGAATGGTGTTTTTATTTTTATCTTCGTTTTTATTGAGACTAGGTGTCCTTATCTTGCCCAGGATGGAAATTAAATGGTCACTCACTGGCTAACCCCCTGCTGGTCAGCATGGAAGCTTTGACCTCCTCTGTTTCCAGCTTGAGCCACTTGGACCCTTCATGAGCTTTCATGACCCCTTCATGGTCTCCCACAGCTTCCCTGTTCTCATCATGTTGGTGCTAGATGTAATGTGAACATCCTTTCAGCTTCAATCCTATTATAGTCCAGAACCCGCAGATTCCAGCCATCTACCAATTCCAACCTCACCACCAGGTGTGGGGTGCCATGCCTAGGACAAAGTGTTTTAGGGTTTACAAAGCTCTTTGCATCCATCATCCCATTTAAACCTCACAATAATCCCATGAGGCAAATACTACAGATATTTTTTTCACTGAGAGCTAGATGTAGGTTCAGGAAGATCTGAGTTGAAGTCTGACCTCTGATACTTAACAGCTGTGTGACCCTGGGTAAATCATTATGTTTGCCTCAGTTTCTTCAATTGTAAAATGGGAATAATAGTAGCACCAACTTTCTAGGGTTGTTGTGAGAATCAAATAAGATAATACTTGTAAAATGCTTGACTCAGTGTGGGGCAGCTAGGTGGTACAGTTTATAGAGTGCTAGACCTGAAGTTAGGAAGATTCATGTTCCTGAGTTCAAATCTGTCCTCAGACTCTTAGTAGCTCTGTGATCCTGAGCAACTCACTTAACCTCATTTGCCTCAGTTTCCTCATCTGTAAAATGAGCTGGAGAAGGAAATGTCAAACAACTTAAGTATCTTTGCCAAGAAAACTCCAAATGGGTTCACAAAGAGTTAGACACAACTCAGCAATTAGCTCAGTGCCAGCACATTATTGTTGCTTAGTCATTCAGTTGTGTCTGACTCTGTGACCTCATGGACAGTTGGTTCATTAGATAATTTGCTTTCTTGGCAAAGGTACTAGGGTGGTTTGCCATTTCCTTCTCCAGTTTATTTTATAGATGAAGAAATGAAGCAAATAGGGATTAAGTGACTTGCCCAGGGTCACACAACTAGTAAGTGTCTGAGGCCAGATTTGAACTTTAGATTTGAGGCCAGCACATAGCAGGTGCTTAATAAATGTTAGTTGATTGACTGACTGCCTTGCCCAGGATTCCATAGCTAGAACTCCTCTATCCACTAGGCTATAGTGCCACTTATTAAGTGCCAGTAGGGAGGTATATAATATTATAGAAAGTATATGACATTATTTTAGTCACTTGGGAGAACATAGTACATGTTATCTCTGACCTCAAGAGGCTCATGGTCTAAGTCAGTCTATTTTTCCAATCTGCGGATCTTAGGCTGGAGAAGTGAGTACTCTCTAGGGAAGCCCTCATCGCGGGGATCTGAGAATTCAGCTGCTCCTACAATGAGAATGGCAAATGAGAGTTTCCTCCTGTAGAAAATTTCTAAAGGTGTGCTCTTGTACCTTGAAGATCTGGAAGAGGAGCTAATTACCTTAAATCTCAGCAACAAAAATTCCATGTGATCTTAACCTTTTCTTTCTTTGACTATGGAACGCCAGAAAAGCAACGGTCACAAGGGAAGTTTGTCAACCACAAGACCAGCAGTGATGAGTGGATACCTTTTACTGACAAGAAGGAATGAGTTTAAGGTTTCCAGAAGGACAGACGAGATGGGACTAAACCAGGGCCGGGCTTCATCAGATCTTTCTGAGAAGTCTCAGGCTTCAGCCTTGAGTTTCCCATCCTCTTTTCTCTCTTCTCTGCCTTTACTTCTGTGTCTCCTACTTACCAATCAGGAGATGAAGTGAGGGAGAGGGTGGGTGGGGAGGAAAAGGCAGTTTCAAATATATTAACATTAACAACTGTAACTTTATATTTAACATCTTATAATAAAACATCGGCCCTCAAACTAATGCACACATGAATTTTTCATACTATAGAGATTACAATACATTTTCTACTCATATATTAAAGACCAACCTGTATAGGGAAGCTATCTTACTTTTTATGGAGTTCATTTTCCTCACTAACCCAAATTAATTTGGTCACATTTATTCCCCATAATTAATTAATGAAGATTATCTGTATTTTTTTAAAAAATCATGACCCAACTACTGTAATTTTGTATCCATTTTCCTGATGGAAACATGAAGATGATTAGAATTTTGGTGAGTAGAATTGCAAATAAATAATTCTACCTCTATTTGGTTTGATTTTCAAATAATTTAACTAAACAATCTTTAAAAAATGATGTGAATACATGGTTTGATTTCTTCCTCTCCCCTCAGGTCCTGCACCCTTCTTAATTTTCAGCCATGGAAATGCTATCTTTAGGATTGACATGGAGGGAACTAATCATGAACAAGTGGTGGCTAATGCTGGCATGTCAATATTGATGGATTTTCATTATAGAAAGGAGAAAGTCTATTGGGTGGACTTAGAAAGAGGACTTCTGCAAAAAACATTCTTTAATGGCACAAAGAAAGAGGTAAAGTACCTGCCATCATAGCATTTGTGGGATGTGGGGCTGGGACACAAAGTCAATAGAGCTTGAGGTTCTAGGATGCTTAGCAGAAATGGCCAATATTATGTTAGTGCTAGAGTAACATTAATCCTAATTTGGGAAGGTCCAGCCCAGTTTTTTCTCGTATACATGGTCAATTTGTGTCAGTCTGTACTGTTTGGGATCACGGGAGTGAACATTTTGTCTGATCAGTTTGGAAAAACGACTGGTTAATTCAGATGAACAATGTTTATCTGATTCTTTCCCAAAATGAGATTTTGTGACTTGGTTATCTTGATACTGTGCAAATCCAGGGATCATCTTTGGAATAAGAACTTATGATGAGCCCTTTTATTCCCATAGTGCTTTACAGTGTGTAAAACACTTTCCTTGAATCCATCCTGTGAAGTGGGTACGGCAAGCACTGGGCATGTCCTACAAAGCTGGAAAGGCTCTGAATATGCCCCCAGAGATGAATTGTCAGTCCACTGTTTGAGCACAAGCTTAGCTAAGTTTGATGAGGTTCATGACCAGGCTAGCCAAAGGGTGATGAATTTTTTGGTGATAGGAATTCTAAAAGCTAGAAGAGAACTCTCTTAGAGAGCATCTATTTTCCTATCTTCCTTAGAGAACAGTCCATTTTTCCTGAAGAAGAAACTGAAGGTCTGAGAAGTCAAACACCCTCACATAGCTAGGAATTGGCAGAGCCAGAACTTGGACCTCAGTCTTTTGGCTTCAAGCCCACAACTCTGTTTTTCTAAAGATGATTGCATTGTAGTTTGGAAAATAGTTGGAAAAATGGGTGCGGAGCCCATAAAATTTTCTACAACTTTGTCCCTTTGTATTGGGGTGGACAAACCTATTGCAGAACACTCCATGACACAGTCAATGAGAATGAACACAACAGAACACTTTTCTATCTAAATACTTCTCTGCCATTCAAAAGATCTACGATTTCATCAATGTGACCAATGATACAGTTCAAAACCAATGAATGCAGGAGTCTATGTGTTGGCCAACAAAACCCATCCCTGGGTGGCCAACCTTTTAGACAGAAAATTGATTGAATGCATTTTAGGGTAATGGAGGTGCCAGTAAATATTACCAGATTAAACTCAAACTCCTGTAAAATTGTATGGAGAGGAATGAAAATTAAAATAATTCTTATCCCAAAGAGTCTAAATGTTTACCAGCCTATATACATATTTTGTGTGTTGGCAACATGTTACTCTACAAGCTAATGATAATGTGCAAATCTATAAAATATTAGAAATCTATGACCCCAAGAAGGAGAGCATGACAATGTGCGTGCAATTTTGCAAACTACAAATTCATATTTTACCATACTTTCTATTTAAGATGGATTGCTCATTTATATTAATATTTATTTTCACCCTTAGAAAATTGTTGCATTTAAGCAGCTAGGTGATGCATTGGACTTAGAATCAGGAAGATTTGAATTCAAATCCAACTTTAGACACTTACTAGCTGTGTGATCCTGGGCAAGTCACTTAACCTCTGTTTGCTTCAGTTTCCTCTGCTGTAAAATGGGAATTAAAAATAGCACCTACCTCGAAGGATTGTTGTGAAAATTAAATGAAATAATATTTGTTAAGGTGCTTAGCATAATGCCTATCATATAGTGGGTGCCTTCTTCCTACCCAACATTTAGAAGGACAACCTTCTTACTCTAAGGGTCTTTATATTTTGGGAAAAAAAAAGACATGTAACATAAATGAATGAGTAGTTAAAGACAATTTATCTAAAGAACACACAAAAAATTTAGAGTATATCATTTTAATCAAGGAATCCTTAAAATAACCCTTTCATTCTTCAGGAATAACATCTAGAGAGTACCATGAGAAATCCATAGACAAATTCTTGAGAGTTTGTTCCTGACCTAAATTACATCAGATAATTGCCCATCATTTCTATCCAGAGTATGTTCCTCTTAGTACTCTTTCAATTAGCTAATCTATCTTTAATATACCCCCTTAATATCTCCCTCTTAATGATGTAGCCTGAGCCCAGTGACATTTGTCAGAAAGGGGGAGAAGAGGACCCTAACAGCTAGAGTAGCACCTGGGGAGAGAGAGAGAGGGAGAGAAAGAAGGAGAGGGGGAAGATAGAGAAAGAGAGAGAAAAAGAGAAAGGGAGAGAGAGAGGGAGAAGGAGAGAGAGAGGGGGAGGGAGAGGGGAAGTGTGAGGGGGAGAGGAGAGGAGAGCATTCGTCAAGTGCTTACCTTGTACTAGGCACTGTCCTAAGTGCTTTGTTATCAGAGGGTGTAGATTTTACTTTCAAGACCGTTGAAATTATTGCTAAAGACCCATTCAATAGCCAATACTAATGGTGTGCATATTTTGAGAACCTTTATACTTCAGAGCTGTGATAGTAAATATTGGGCCAAGGAATAGGTACTTGTAAATTCAGAAGTATCATTTTGGAGATTCACTTGGGATTGTAATTTTGAAATGACAAAAATAATAATAGCAACTCATGGCTTATTAATTTTATTCAAAGTAGTTTAATTATAACAGGAAGTTAAAGAATAAAATAGTTAATGGTGACAGATGCTTAAAATGACAGATATTTTAAAAGAAGTATCTTATTGGTCATAAGGAAAGGTTAACAACTCAATTAAAGTTTTTATTTCACAGATTCTGGGCCATGTGGAGAAAGGGTTTTCAGGAATGGCAATAGATTGGCTTCATGAAGAAATTGTTTGGTCCAATCAACTGAAAGGAACAATTGAAACTACAGACATGAAAGGAAACAATTCTCATGTCCTCTTGAAGGAATTAAATTATCCTAAAAATATTGTTCTTGATCCGGTAAAAAGGTAAAACTACTGCTATTTTCTGATACGATAATAGTCTTTAAAATGTGAGGGAAAGTTCACTGGCATCATTCTTTTAATAGAACGATGTAGGGAGAGTCATGTTAGTTTGCTGGAAAATTGTTAAAGTGGCTTTTCATTGATGTGATTGAAAAGTAGGTGCTAGTGAACTTAGGTTTTTGTTTTTTTTTTGGTGAGGCAATTGGGATTAAGTGACTTGTCCAAGGTCATAGAGCTAGTGAGTATCAAGTTTCAGAAGCCAGATTTCAACTCAGGTCCTCCTGACTCCAGGGCTAGTGCTGTATCTGCTGCACCATCTAGCTGCCTCTATTGAATTTACTTGTGTAGTGATTACACATTTTCATAAGAAAAGACTCAGTTTATAGCACGACATAGTGGAGAGTATTTATTGGTTCTAGAATCTGAAGACCTAGGTTTAAAGCCTGGCTCTGACACTGATTGGGTAATCCAAGGCAAGTCATCTGAAGATGCAACTAGGTGACTCAGAGGATAGAGCGTTGGACCTGGAGTCAGGAACACTTGAGTTTGAACCTTGTCTCAGACACTTTCTAGCTGAATGACACTTGGCAAGTCATTTAGCCTCACTTAGACTCAGTTTTTCTCATCTGTAAAATGGGGGTTAATAATAGCACCTACCGGGGCAGCTGGGTGATGCAGTGAATAGAGCACTGGCCCTGGAGATTAGGAGGACTTGAGTTCAAATCTGGCCTCACACACTTGACACTTACTAGCTATGTGACCCTGGGCAAGTCACTTAACCCAGATTGCCCCGCTCCCCCCAAAAAATAATAATAGCACCTACCTCCCAGGAATGTTATGTGAACAAAGGCTGATGATATTTGTAAGGTGCTTTGCAAACCTTAAAACACTATATAAATGCTATCTATTATTACTAAGCCACTGCTTTCCCTGACCTCAGTTTCCTCAATTGTTACATGAGGGAATTGGAATAAAAGGTCCCCAAGGTACCCTTCTAATCCTGTGAGTTTAATTATCATCTCTATGCAGATGACTCACAGATCCACTCCAATCCTGGCCAGCTCCCCTCTTCCTTTGGAGTTTCAATTCTGCATTACCAAATGCTTATTGAACATTTTTTTTTGAACATTTCAAAGTAGGTATTCTAGAGACACCATGTCCCAAATAGAACTCACTATCTTTTCCCCTTAACTCCAATAATCCAATAAACATTTATTAAGTGCCTCTTCTGTGTCAGGTACTGTGCTTACTGCTGGGGCTACAATTAATAAAAAGATAGCCCCTGCCCTCAAGGAGCTTACAGTCTAATGGAAGAGGGGGAGACAACGCACAAAAGGAGGCAGGAAAGTGTGGGGGAGACTAGGAGATGCCCAATGGGGGGGGGGCACCTTGTTCCATGGAGTATTATTGAAGGCACTCATTTTTTTCCAGTTTCCCACTGACTCTTTCTCACCCTACAAATCCAATCATTGCCAAAGCATGCCTTTTCTAGCTCTACAACATGTCTCCCACATAATCTATTCTCTCCGCTCACTAAGTCACCACATCAGTTCAGACTATTGTCATTGGCCTCCCTGCGTCCAGTCTCTCCTCATCGTAATCTATCTTCCACTTAACCATCAAAGTGGTTTCCCCTAAATTAAGATCTGAACAAGTCACTCACCTACTCAGTCAACTCCAGTTGCTCCTTATAGCCTATAGAATACAATATGATCTCATTTTGGCTTTTAAAACACTTCTCAATCTCTCCCCAATCTATCTTTTCAGCCTCATACATTACTACCTTTCTGGCATCCTATGGTCTAAGCAAACTGACCTTCTCTGTATTCCTCACACAGAACACAGTATCTCTCACCTCCCAGCCTTTGCACTAGCCATGCACTGTATCTGTAATTCTTTCCTTCTACTTCATAGAATTTACCTCTTCCTTCAAGCTGCAGGTCAAACACCGCCTTCTACATGAAGACTTTACTGGTCTGCCCATTGCTAGTTCTCTCCCTAACTATTCCATATTTAACTACAATGTATTTATTTGTATTTATTCTAACTACACTTCTAAATGTACTTGAATCCTTTATTAGATTGTGAGTTACTTGAGAGTAGGGATAGTTTCATTTTTGTACTTGTATCTTCAGTGCTTGGCACGTGCCAGGCACCGAATAAATGCTAGTTGATTGATTGATTGATTGATCCTAGAATCTGATAGAACAATTATCTTTAAGGAGGGTCATCTAGAGGAGTGGAACAATCACCTAATCGACAGAATCAGAAGACCCAGTCTCTTTTTTTCTCAGTAAGGAGCAGGAAGGTTCCGGCATAGAGGATATCCAGTCTGATTCTCCCATTCTGCAAATGAAAAAACTGAAGTCCTGAAAGGTGATCTTCCCAAGGTCACGAAGGTTGTATGTAACAGTTCTGACTCCAAATATGGTGCCCAGTTCAGTTACATTCAACTAAGATGAATTAAATTCCTGCTGTCTTCAAAGGACTGGGCTGAGTCCTAGGCACGCAATAATAGATAGGGCTTAGGTTGGAATCCCAGTTCAAATGGTTACTAGCTGTGTGGAAAGCCATTCCATCTCTCCCAGGCTCAGTTTTCTCATCTACAAAGTGGGGATAACAATGTCTATAATATACCACCTTCATGGTTGTGAGAGAACTACTTTCTGCAGTTCTTACCCTAACTTCCATTGTTACAGGTTCCCAAAGCAGGGTTTTTTTTTCCCCCTTTCTTCATGTCTCTAGTGCTTAACACAGTGCCTGGTACACAGTAGGCACTTAATAAATGCTTGTTGACTGACTGACAGCATTCAACTGGCTACATCTCTTCCTCAGGGTCTAGGAGTACCCCATGGGGCCAGGGATGATACTCTAATGAAATCAGCATGAGTCTATACCATTGTAAATCTCCCCATCCTCCCAAGATGGTCAATTGAAAATAATTTTATCATCCAGGCTTAGGTAGCTTTTAGAAAGAGATATTTACTAAGGTAATAAAAACAAAACAAATAAACAAACAGATAAACAAATAAATAAAATAAAAATAAAAACAGTTGGCATGATACATCTTTCCAAACATTTGTGACCAGCTCTTCCACAAGAACCTACAGAGTACAGGGAGAAAGTGGGCAGAAGTTTAGAATACATTTGCCCAAAGGAGAATTCACAGTATCTGCTTCCTGGAAGTCCTTTTCTTTCATTTGTGGGGTGCTCAGAAAGTTTCCCTTAGACATGGTACACTTTCTTTCCTATGCTCCTTGTAGAGCTGTGAATCTAGTCTGTCCGGGGCTCCTGGTGATAAAGAGTGCAAAGCAGGCTGATTTATGAACACCATTTAGAGCACCAATGAGAAGATTAGAGGTCTAATATACTCTGGACTCTTCAAAGCTGGAAAGTTTTTCTCTGGTCAAGGAAGTGTTGTGGAGTGAAGAGACTTAGCCAAAGCTAAAGCCTAAGCCTCTCCCCTACCCCCTACCCTAAGTGGTTTCTTCTGAGGAATGAAAGCCACATCCTCTAACAAAGCCTTCCTTTTTCAATTCACTTGATAATTTATAGCTGATCAAGTTTGCCAGCTCATTAGACAGACTTCCTGTCTGGTGTCATTTCATTTTATCCAATGGTTTTTTAAAACTTCAAAAAATTTCTTCTTCCTAAAACATTTTGTACTTAGTCTAAGGTCTTCTGATAGATTGATTGAGATATTTTCACCTAATTAAGGTATCAGAGATAAAATGGGGGTGGAGTGGTTTTAATCCCACCTTTACATTGGTAAATCTTAAAGTAGAAATGTAGATTAAAATAGAAATTTAAATTATTATTATTATTATTAATTAAAATGATTGGCTTTGCTGTCGAGAACCCTACTAAGGAAAAAGATAACATATACAAACAGCAAAATGATGATACCAGAGAGAGTGAGATAAGTGTGATTCCGAGATCATCTAGTCAAAGGACTGTGGTAAATTTTTGAAAGGGGAGAATCACTTTCACTTCACAGAAGAGGTAGTACCTTGGTTTGCTGGTGAAGAAAGAGAAAGATGTTAAAAGATGGAGGAGGAGAGAAAGGGGAGTCTATTTAAAGCATAAGGGAGAGCATGAGAAAAGGCACAGGAAGGGAGAAAACAGGACAAGAATGGGGAATGGAGAATACTTTCTTTGGTTAGAATGTACATTAAGTACAAGAAAGAGAGTAGTAGCAAGAGATACAAGCCTGGAAAGGCAGGATCATAAGGTCATAGCTTTAGATGGAAAGTGCCTCATGCTCCATATTGTTCAATGCCCTCATTTTTCTTTTCTTTTTTTCTTTTTTTCTTTTTTTTATTTTTAGGCAATTGGGGTTAAATGACTTGCCCACGGTCACACAGCTAGTAAGTGTCAAGTGTTTGGTTTGAGACCACATTTGAACTCAGGTCCTCCTGACTTCAGGACCGGTGCTCTATCCACTGCACCACCTAGCTGCCCCATGCCCTCATTTTTCTGATGAGGAAATGGAGGCCTAAAGAAATTAAGTGACTTGCCCACGGTCATATAGACTCCTTTCTATAGCAGAGTTGAGATTTGAAACCAGGTGTTCTGGTTCTGAATCTAGCATACTTTCCACAGTGCTGTGTTGGCTTTCCTCTGAAGTATCATGCCTCTAAAGTAGGTGATAAAAAATAAAAAAAAATAAAGTAAGTGATAGACAAAGTTAGAATCAGATGGTAGATAGTTTTAAATCTTAAGATCAAACATTTATATTTTATCCAATAAAAAATGGAATTCCATTGAAGGTTTTTGAAAAGTGACATCGTAGTGGTTCCATAGTTTGAATATTCAGGTGTCAGTATGGAAGATTTGTTGGAAAAAAATAGATTCAATGCAGGAAGATTAATCTGCTAGGCCTGAGAAGCGATAGGGGTCTGAACATGGGTAATAGGATAAAAGAGTTCAGAGAAGGGGGGAGGAGCAGTGAAGGCAGAATATATGTTGATTGGTTGGATGTGTAGGATAAGGATGAAGTAAGAGTCAAAGGTGACTTAGAGATTGTGTCCTGGGTAGCTGGAAGGGTCCCGGTGCCTCAGAGGAGATGATGAGGTTCCTTTGGCGTGGTTAATCTCTCCGTGATCTGTGAGCGAAGCAGAATTACAGTAGCTCAAAAGAAATGTGAGATGCACAAATTTAGAGACGTTGCCACTCCAAATGTTCATATGGGCTATTTGTGTCCGACTTATGATAGAGCTTTCCAAGTTCATATTGGTCTGATCAACCACAGCCAGACAAACCAGACCTTGACCTTGACCTAGTGATGCCATTTTGATCCTCTTTGAGAATGAAGAACAACCAACATACTTGATCTCTAGAGTGAGGGGCTTGGGATGGATCCCAATGGATCCTAATGTCCCTTTAAGCTCTAACATTCCTTGCTATTCTAAGAAAGAGTTTATTTTCAGAAAAGTAAGAAAAAAAGGAGTTTATTGTAAGGAGTTTAAGGAGCAGCTGTTAGGTACTGAGGAAGGAATGTTGGGAATTGGACTTCAATTCCCTTCAGAGGGTAGAGATTGCACACATAGAAAGCTTTGTGAGGAAGATCGACCGGTTTGACCATTTTAGCTTAACCCACATCTTATTAGCTGAATTTTTGCCAAAAGCGGTTGTACCTTTTGTGTATAGACACAGGCTAATGGTTGGCAATCACTGAAATTGGCCATGATAACTTTCCAAATTGTTAGGATTCTCTTTCTTTTGTTTCCTATTCAGGTTTATATTTTGGGTGGCAGGTAATATTACTGGCACTATAAACAGAGCCAGTCTTAATGGGACTGATGTGAAGATTCTAATGCAGACGTCACAAACAATTAAAACGATCTCACTGGACATCGTTAACCAGAGAATCTTTTGGATTCAGTACAGCAGGGCAAAGAGTGACCTTCATGTTGGCTCATGTAATTATGATGGGGGCTCTGTTCACCTGTTGAACCATTTTACACAGTAAGTTTTGCATTTGGTTTAAAGGGGATAGAATATTACATAAGGCCTATAAAAAGACTAGTTGCTTCTGCATTTGCCACTTTGGTAGGTATTGGAAATGCTGAGCTTTTATCTGCCTTATGCAATGAAAAAGTAATTTTATTGACATCTTTTGTTTTTAATCTCACCTTCATTTCCCAAACCATTCTGTATGAGAGAGAATAAAAGAAGAGGAAAAAATAGCTCACCAGAACTGGTGGCTCACAGAATGGAATCAACACATCACTTGTCAGTCTCCTAGCTCTGCAGAGATGGAAGGGAGATACATTCTCAAATCTCTTCTTTCAGAAACAAACTTTAGGACAAAATTATAATTACACAAAGTTTTGATTTTTAAAATTGTTTCTATTTACTCATTATGAATTATTGTTTTCCTGGTTCAGCTTATTCCACTGCATAGTAATTCATAAATTTTTCTATCATATCTCTCTGTAGCCTTCATATTTATTTATTTATTTTTTTGGCTAGGCAATGGGGTTAAGTGACTTGCCCAGGGTCACACAGCCAGTAAGTGTCAAGTGTCTGAGGCTGGATTTGAACTCAGGTTCTCCTAACTCCAGGGCCAGTGCTCTATATTCATCTTTTCTTACAGCACAGTTATGTTCATCATATTCATGGATTCCAGCTGGTTTAACTATTTCCCAAATGATGAGCATTTGCTTTAGCAAAATATTTTCAATATTTTGCGAGCAAACAATAATAGCGGCTGGAATTTATGTAGTACTTTACAAATATTAACTCATTTAATCCTCTCAATGATCCTATGAAGTAGGTGCTATTATTGTCCCTATTTTACAGATGAGGAAACTGAGGCTAAGAGACTCAGTATCTGAGGCAGGATTTGAACTCACACCTTCCTGACTGCTAAGTCCTTCACTCTATCCGCTGTGCTACCTAGCTGCCTTTTACATGGTACATGCTGTGGTAGGAGGTAGGAGATTAAAGTAACAAATCTGGGAATTCACCTATATCCCTTTTCTCTTGCTCTTCCATTCCCCTCCATTCAAACAGCTTTTTGATGAGTAGCAGATAATTAGGACATCAGATCTTGAGCGCTGGATTTGGTCAGACTCTGAGTACTGAGTGAAATAAGATGTAGGGCTCTGATCTTGCCATTAGAGGACTTGAGCTCCAGATGTGGCTCTAGTGTATACTAGTACTTTGACCTTGGGCGGCTTCCCTTATTGCATCTGAATGTAATAGAGGTATGAGAATTGCTTGGCATTCTGGGATTTTTAGTTCAGAGGGACAAATGTTCTCTCTCATCCCTGAGAGCAATCTGGACTAGGATAATCTTTGAGCCAGAAGGAGGACGTGAATCATGCTTGGGAGTTTTGAAAAAGACGATATATAGCCTGTGACGGAAAAGCTGAAAAGAAGGAATGAGCATAACACGAGCAGTGACAGTGGGGGATACAGCGTCCTGTGGCTTGTCCAACACTCAGTGAGCTGAGATGCAGAGAAGTGATGGCCCAGGGGACATGGTCAAAGAGAGAAGAAAGGCTGAGCTGGGATAGAGAAGGCAGAGACTGAGGTGGACTCTGGAGTCCTTGCAGCAACTTGGAACAAAGAATTTAGATGGGAGCTGGGGATTGTAATTATATCTGGCCACTGGACCCAGATGGCTCCAGAGGAGAAAGTGAGGCTGGTGACTTTGCACAGCCCTTCCTCACTTAAATCCAATTCACTTGCAAGTCATGGCATCATCTTCCTGATGTCATGGTCTTACTGTAGAACGAAGGGCCAAAAAGCCCCCTGCAATCACAACCACACAACCACAGCACAACAACCTTAAGTACTGAGAGAAGTTCTAAAAGGCCTTCTCTTTCCTCAGCCTCTCCTCCCCATGCCTCTCAAGTAACTAGGACACTTCTCCCTTCCTTTAACTAAGTATTTCCTTTACACTAATTTTGCTGCCTATATAGTGAAACCTGGGGTCAGATATGAAGGCTTGTATTGTATAATTAGTCTGTACTGAGAAGAGGGGAATGGAGGAAGCAAAGATTTCTTGGAAAATACGCAAAATTTTAATGAGGACAAAAAGCCAAAACTCTGCTTGAATGTTAGGAATTTTCCTGAGGGCTCTGAGCAATTGTCACCTGATGTAAACTCTATAAAATATCAGAAAAAGGCATGGGGGGTACCTGAGGGACATTATCTTGTTGTTCAGTCATTTTAGTTGTGTCTGATTCTTTGTGACCTCATTTGGGGTCTTCTCGGCAACGATACCGGAGTGGTTTGCCATTTCCTTTTCCAGTTCATTTTATAGATGAGGAAACTGAGGCAAACAGGGTGAAGTGACTTGCTCAGGGTCACCCAGCTGGTGTCTGAGGCCAGATTTGAACTCAGGTCTTCCTGACTCCAGGCGGAGTGGCCTATTCACTGCCTCATCTAGCTGCCATTATATTACTTCTAGGCTAAAAGTGAGCTAATTATCCTCAAAAGTTAAGGCTGATAAATCTCCAGAGAGAAGGGTAGAGAGGAAAGAAAAGACCACACTCTAAGCCATGCCCCCAGGGAGGAGGTGGGCAAGACCTAGGAAAGATTCAATTTCACTACCTTCCAGAAGGGAGAAGGGACCAGATATGTTCCAGTAGCAGTTGGCCAGCCTTAGCCTCTACAACTATACACATCAGTGTAACATATAACCTAGGTGACGCAGTGGATAGGGTGTAAGGCCCAGAGTCAGGAAGACATCTTCCTGAGTTCAAATCTGTCTTCAGACACTTACTAACCATGTGACCCTGGGCAAGTCACTTATCCCTGTTTGCCTCAGTTTCCTCATCTGTGAAATGGACTGGAGAAGGAAATGGCAAACCACTCCAGTATCTTTGCCAAGAAAACCCCAAATGGGATCATAAAGAGTTGAACACGACTGGACAACAACAAATACATATATTGCCTATGTCACAAGGTTGTTGTCAGGAAAGCATTTTAAGAAACTTAATATATTTCATAAGTGTGACTTATAAGTGTGCCTGCACGGAGGAAATTCAAAATAATAAATAGGAATTATAAATAATAAATAGCAATAGTTATTAAAATTAAATTCAATTAAATTAAAATTAAAAAATTAAAAATAGTAATTAAAATTCAATCTATTTTGAAGTGAAATAAACAGTAATGAAGCCATGGAAGGGAACAATTATCTGGTCTTCCTCTTTCCCCTTTCTTCTATTCTTCTGTAGGTATCCTTATTTTGGAATGTCTCTCTTTGCTGAAGATATGTACTATTCAGAATGGAATATGAGTGCCATTTGGAGAGCCAATAAACACACAGGGGAGAAATTGGTTAAAATTAGCCTTAAACCATCATTTCTACCACCAACTGAAATAAAAGTAGTACACCAGCTCCTGCAACCAACAGCAAGAAATAATACTCAGGATACTGGTAAGCTACCTAGACCCAGTTCTAAAATTTTGCTTCTCATCTTTTTTTTTTTTTTAAAGAAAGGTAGGCTTCCGAATATTGTTTCTGGCCCAGCTGAATGTGCTTAAAATAATGACCTACATTTACATAATACTTTTGCTTTCATAACTTTATGAGCTTGGGCATGTCACACAATCTCTATGGGCTTTATTTTTTGTGTCTGAAAAAAATGAGGGAGTTAGACTAATCTCTACAGATTTGGACCAATTAATTAATCAATCATCCACTCAATAGTCCTTTATTAAGCACCTACAATGTGAGGAGCATTGTACTAGGCACTTATACAAATATAGAATAGTCCCTGTTTCCCAAGAACTTATACTCTTTAGATTTGTCTGTGAATTTTACCTTACCAACAACCTTATTGTGGAGTTGGGCCAAGGAAGTAAGGGGGAATGAAAAGTTAGAAGAGGGAGGGAAGAACATGAGTAACAGTTAGGATGGGGAAACAATAATGGTTCTTTTTTTTTCCCCAATCTGTGGATTATAGGTAGTCAGATCCCATCGGAGGAAATGCATTTTCAATCAGTAAATCAACAAACAAACATTTCAGCACCTATTATATTCCAGATACTGTACTGAGTACATAAACACAAAATATAAATACAAATATAAAATATATTTTGTGCTCCTAGTTATAATATGATTGGGTAGAAATATGGTGATCACTGTAACTATTTACATGTGCACTGTTGCATATACACTCTGCTATAGGTTTATTTTTGCCACTACAAACACTCAGGAAAGAAATGTAGAGATGTAGCAATGTTTGCTACCTGGCTTCAGGAAGTTAGGATGGGTCAGACTTAGAACTTTCATATAAAACATGAGGAAGAACTTGTGTAACCCACGTGAAACTTTGTTTCTGGCTAGGTTTTCAGTACACTGATGGTAGATAAAGTTAGAAATAAATCAGATTTATAGGACATTTACCAATAGGAGAACCAGAGATGTGGTCACAAGAACTTTGTTGGCGTATTACATACATGCTATTTTCAATTGTTTTAATGGAAATTACACAATTGAAATAAAATTCTGGAAAACAATTCAATTATAACACCAAATTGCTATAATCAAAATTCATTTAACATCAATAAGTGGAGAGCTTACACATTTCTATTAGGTATAAGAGGAAAATGTTTAAGCATGAGAATTAGAAATCTTCTAGTTATGCAATATGGAAACATTTGACATGTTAAATTATGACTTTATATAACAATCAATCAATCAGCAATTATCAGTTACATGCCTACTATGTGTGAGACACTGGGCTAGGTATTGGGGATACAAGATAAAACTGAGACAGCCTTTTCCTTCACAGAATGTACATTCTATTCTCAAAAAGTTCATTGTCCAAACTGTGTTGGTTCAGACAAACATCATGTTCAATAAAGGACAATGGGTGTTTCCAAGTTGGTTCCCAAACACTTGCTATGAAGTAAGCTGGGCTACCTGAAAAAAGAAAAGCTTTGAGAATTCAGTGAACCCCAGAGACCTGGAGAATGAAGTTGAAGATAATTTAACCTCCTCGTGATAATCTAGCATCATCCTTATCAATACCATGCCTAATGTTATTATGAGTTAGCCTGCTATTATCATGTCTTGTAATACAGTGATCTCAACAAGGCCTATTTAACCGGGGCTGGAGAAGCCCTTAGAGGGGTTTTGCCCTTTACACTCTAAATAGCTTTAGAATACTATGCTTTTGAGTGCATGTTGTATAATTTTTCTGTCTTACTCCTTAGTGTCAGGCTTTAAGCTTTTACTTTTAACTGCTGTCACAATTGCTACCTGTAGCTCTCCCCTTTTCTGATTTGTTATTTCTCATCTTCTGTGGACAGAGAAACCGGATCCTCCATCCCCTCTCCCTTGCCCAGGATATTAGAATTATGTCTAAAATAAGACTAACTAGGACCTGAAGAAAGAGCTTGAGGTGACCTTGATCACACACATTAGCTTTAGGGTTGCGGATTTTGCTTCATCTGTTGTGACTGTTCTTTGTTTATTTCCTGTCTTTCAGCTCTGTTTGCCATAGGTGATATTGCCAAACAATTGAATGCTGTATAATAACAATAGTAATAATTAGTGCTTTAAGGTTTGAAAAACTCTTTACGAATATTATCTCTTTTGATCCTCACAATAACCCTGGGAGGGTAGGGTGCTATTATTATCCACATGAGAAACCTGAAGCAGACAGAATTATGTGACTTAACCAGGGTCTCACAGCTAGTAAGTAAGGTTGATTTGGAACTCAGGTCTTCCTGACTCCAGGTTCAGTGGTCTCTTCACTGAGCCAACTATAAATGAATCATTATTATGGTGCAACATAGAAGTCCTTTTACTTTTTAAATAATTTTAATATCAAGGAGCAAAAGTAGGATTCTAGATTTTGGAAAGTTGCAGAGAAAACAACACATGGTACAGTGGTCAGAGCCTTGACTTTGGAGTCAGAGGAGCTGGGTTCAAATCATGCTTCTGAAGTTTACTACCTGTGTGACTTGGGTAAGTCGCTTAATTTCCTTTGGCCTGAATTTCCTGTTCTATAAAATGAAGGGCTTATACTCGACCTGTGAAACCCCTTATCATTTAAGACCTATGATTTATGAAGCTACCATAAGAGTGACAGACCCAACACACACATAAACACATATGATATTTTCATAGTCAGCTTTGAGGACACAGATATGGATACCACCAATGCAAAAGTATTGGGCAATTGGGTGGGAATGATGACCAATTGGAATTGTTATTGAGATGACAAGCCTGCCTGAATCCTCTTGGAAAGAGTCTGGAAAGTCTTTCTTGGGGGGGGGTGAGTTTTGCACAGACCAATCTGAGCTGGGGATGACTTGTTGGAGAAGACTAGGAGGATGTTCTAATGGAAAGAATAGCATGTATAGTGATTTGAAAGTGGGCCAGAATGAAATCTTTAGGTTTGCTTAAGTATAGCAAAGAGTGTGAGTGGGTGTATTCGGCAGATGGGGGTAACAAGTTGAGAAGAGGACAGATAGAGGAAATTAAATTTTGTGGAATGAGTTGTCGAGCTCTCAGGAGGAGGGCGGGAGTCACAAGAGGTTTGTCTGTGTATTCTAAGTGTTAATTGTCACCTGTTCCGAGGCCAGAAAGAAGAGCAAAGGAAAAGAAAGGTTTAAAAAAATCAACAGTGAACAAAGCCATACCAAAGAGACAACATGACCTAATGATTAGAGCTCAGGCCTGGCAATCAGGAAGACCTGGGATTGAATCCCGCCTCAGAAACTGACTGACCTGGGCTGCTAACTTAACCTCTCTGAACCTCAGTTTCCTCATTTGTAAAATGAGTGGGTTGGATTGAACGGCTTGTGAGGTTCCTTCTAACTTGAAATCAGTGATCCATAATATTGGTCTTCACGGGAGGAAGTAGGTCATCACAGCATCAGTATGTACTGTCTAAAGGCTAGTGATTAGTTCCTATCTAGCCTAGTACAGGAAGCACAGAACAATGGTTAAAGAATGTTTTCAAATGATATATTGTAGAACTGAATACTTTCAGCAGCCCAATGAACTGGAAAGAACAGTGTATCAGGATACTTGCTTTTAGTCTGACTTCTTCCGCTTACTAGCTTTGTGACTTTTGACAAATCATATAACCTGTTTGGGCATCAGTTTCCTCATCTGGGAAGTAAAGAGACTGGAGTCAATCTCTAACATCCCCTTTTGCTCTAAATTGTTATATATTGAGTTATCCCCCTAAAAGCAACTAAACAAAATAGTTTTTTTTTCTTTTTGATCATAGTTGGTCATTTTTCCCCCATAAAAGTTTTGAGAATATGATCAAAATCAGTTTGGGAATTTCAACATGTGGAAATAAGTGAAAAGATCCTTGCCATTATGCAGAGGAAGGGAATTTATAAAAGAAAATGCACATGTGAAAGATCACACAGCAAGTCAGTAAATAAAGGCTCTAGAAAGAGAGCTCATATTTTATGATGGGGTAGAAAGTACACCGAGAATCTAGGATCTGCTCTTTGTTATTTGTGTAGTCTTAGGAAAATTGTTTCATTGCTCAGACCTCAGTTTCTCTATATGTAAAATGAGAGGGTTAGACTAAATGACCTCTAGGGAAATTTTCGGCTCTTAGTCTCAGGATCTCAAGACTTTCTGCATGGACCACTTTGTAGAACACTGTACTTGGCGTTGAAGGGGCATCCAAAATTAATAGAGAACAAGTTTTCTGTCCTCAAGCAGCATATGGCTTAGCTGAAGATGCAGAGCATATATGCCAGTGAAAGAAAGCTTAAGAACATCTAAATATCAGCATAAAAGTAAGGACTAGGGGCAGCTAGTTAGCAAAATGGATAGAGTACCAGCCCTGGAATCAGGAGGGCCTGAGTTCAAATCTGGCCTCAGTCTCTTGACACTTACGGGCTGTGTAACTCTGGGCAAATCACTTAACCCTGATTGCCTTGCAAAAACAAAAGTAAGGACTACTCATTTTTGGGTAATAGAAAATATAGTGAAATTAAGCAAGCCTCTGTTTCATCCATTTATCTTAAGTCCTGATGTGTTTTGTACATGATTTAAGTAAATTTTTGATAACTTACATAAAACTAAAGTTGTGCATCAACTAAAGTCTACCAAAGTCTTACATCCATATCTCATCATGGTATAAAGCAGAAATGTCAAATTCAAAATGAGCAGGTGAACCAGGTTAAAAAGTAATAAGGAAATATTTAACAAAATAAACAAAAATACAATGCAATATTTATTATTGTTTAGTTGTTCAGTCGTGAATGACTCATCGTGACCCCATTTGGGTTTTCTTGGCAAAGATAATAGAGTGGTTTGCCATTTCCTTCTCTGGCTCACTTTACAGATGAGGAAACTGAGGCAAACAGGGTTAAGTGACTTGCCCAGGGTCACACAGCCTTACTTACACAATAAGTGTCTGAGGCTGGTGTTGAATGCAGGTCTTCCTAACT